ACTAATTTTTCTCTAGGCCTGGAAGATGTCAAGGTGAAGACGGTTGCTGCAGGCTCCTATCATTCAGTGTCACTCACAGGTAAGCCTTAATTACAGAAGGGAAAGTCCTTGTCTCAGCCTATGAAGGTTTTTTTTTCTTTTGGAAACATTTGTCAGTTTTTATTAGACTGGTAAAATTTGATCTGACCTAATTAGTGCTGGTTAATTATTTTGTAATAATTGTTTTGGATTCTGAGAGCTCTCCTTTAGAGCTGGATTCATATTTTGAATTCCATTAATTCTATGTGGTTTACTTCTTGGGGTCAGTTGTGACTTCACTCTTAGTCATAGGCAAGTGTCTGGGCTCTTAATGGTTAGAAACTGGAAGGGCTTTGTAGAAGCACATGGTTGGGTAAGTCTCTGGAGCTCTGCAGCATGATGCCTCACTGGGTACCTCTGGATGGTTGAGTGCTGGAAGCAGTGCAGCCCTGTCTGTGGAGACAAAGGGTTGTGCTGTACAGGGAGGTGCTCTGCAGCTATCTAGGTGGCTCTGATATGGCTGTGCAGGTCTGGGTGAGGCACTGTAAGAGCATGAGGTGTATTTAAAGCAGTAGGAAGTTGCTTTAGTCACTTAAGTCCTTCCACAATGTCTGCCATTTGTTCTCTGATCCTTAGGCAGTGCTCCCATGCTGAAGTATTAAATATCCAGTAATGAAAGTCTAATAACCACTTTTTTTTTTTTTCTGTGAGCAAGGAGAATCAGAAGAGCTTTTCATGCTGTAATCTTACAGTTCTGAAGTGTCAGAATTATATTGAACCTTATGAAGACAAGTCTTTGCCAAACTTTATAGGAACAAGTTCTGAGTAAATATGCAGCCATCTGGTACCTCTGTCATCATTAAAGGAGCACTTGAGTTTTTCTTATGCCGTTCTATAGAGATTTAGTTGTATGGGGAGATGTTCCAAGATGTAAATTATTTTGAATTCTGAGATGCAAAGTGTTTGTGTGATTATTGAAGAACAACTGCAAGGACAAACAGAATCTACTTGGGCTAATTAGCACTCTGCATTAAACAGTGAACAGGTTATTCTTTCATGCTTTTGCTTTTTATGTAACAGAACAGTCTGTTTGGCAGCAGGGGGATTAACAAAGATTAACAAAGTAGGTGCCAGAGGCTTTCATAACGTGATGCTGTTGCTACCCTTCATCCTGCAAGGTACTCATTTTCACTTAAAATAGTTTGTGTTTTAAAAGTACTTGAAACAGTGAAGATACTACTGCGGGATGCAGTATTTAGATGGGGAATAGGAGCCTCTCAAACTGATGCAGTTTTCTCTGGCTCTGTTTCGTGAGCCACCTGCTGGCAGGACACCGAACACCTGCACTCGGGGGTTTTTGACACTACTGTTGAAGTGGGTTGTTGCAAACAGGAATGGTGGGTCCTCTAAAGGGAGGATGGTAGTCTGCCTGTATCCAGACTGCCTGAATGCTCCAGTGATGGGAGTATGGTGCTAAGTCTTAGTGTCCCTGCTCAAGAAATGAGGTGAGGGTTGAGCATGTGACATTTCCCACTAGAAAGCAGACGCAGCTTCGGGAGGAGTAAAGGGGGTGACAGGCAGTGTGTGAGGTGGGGAAACACCAATGACCATAGTGGTTTTCTTTGGTTTCCATCACCTTTTTTCTCTCCAGAAGGTGTATGTACTTCAGTCTGGGAAGGAATTTATCAATTTTAGTGGAAAACTTGAATGAAACAATTGCTTGATTTGTTTTTCCTTTTTAGTTGTGTTGTTTCAATGAGGGATGGGGGAAGCCCTGCAGGTGACTGTCAATACTGTGTAAGTTGGCAACTACTGGCTTCCTGCTGTTCTTTCTCTTTTTTTCCACCAGCAGTAGTATGGTGGAATTCTCTTGCCTGGTTCTTTCTGTTACTGTTACCAACTGATATCATTAAACATATAGTAGCCAAAGTCATGCATTTTCCCCACCCTTCTGAAAGACTTCTGTTATGCTGCTTGTAAAGATTTAGTGCTAACCTCAGACTTCCAGAAGCCCTGAGTGTTGTGGAGGTGTGCTGCAAACAATGCCATGTTGGAACTGATACAGCTTCCAGTGTTTCTGGGCCCACGGTCTCGTCCTTCATGTGTGCAGGATTTATTTCTTACACTTGCAGTTTGTACAGGGTGGCCAAGGGCTGCAGGAGGCCTGATGCAGCTCGTGTTCTGTGAAGTGGTTCTTGTCAGTTGTATTTTGTAACGTGGAGGGCTAGAACCTGGGCAGGATGATCTCATACTGGAGAGGTGAGACTAAGGATATTGTAATATCTGCAGGACTCATCTGAACTATCATCTTGTTCACAGCTTAACAACCAATTGACAACAGCAACTCCAGCTTGCTCTGGTGAAACATAGGAAGCAATGTGGATGTTTCTGAAAATATAATTATCCCTGTGGGTGGAGTTCTGGAGCGTGTGCTTGCACAAATGCTTATTCTAGAGAAGGGCTAGGGAAGACAAGTGATTACTTACACAAGACTCACTAGTTGTCTGGTGTTGTTTTGAGGCATGATAATGTTTTAATTTTGCCTTGTGATGCGTGGTACCTGCTTTAGTTGTATGTTCATAGCTGTGTGTCTGGTTCCAGTGACAGCAAGGTGAGACAAGGAGCATTTGACTGTCCCTGCTTTGGGGAATTTATGGAACTTGCTCAAGCTGAAGAAGGTGAGAAAGTTGTGAGCAGAGCTTGGAGTGTGTAGGTCTTGAAGAGAGACTTGGAGGCTGTATTGCAGAGCAGGAGCAGCCAGCCAGGCTTTGAAAGAGTCAGAGGTGCTAGAGGGGAGTTGACTTATTTGCCGCAATTCAGGAAGTTATTTATGGGTCTGAATGAAAGCTTTGGGGTGGATGTAAAAGCTGGCCTGCAAAACCAGCATGGACTGGGAGGGACAGCTCAGCCAGTGTCCCAAACATGCTTTGATTTTAAATTTTTTTTTTTTTTTTTTCCCTCTCACAAAAGTTGAGTACTGTGGTTAGTTGTCTACAGCAAAGGCAAATTTTTGTTAGACATCTCTCTGTCTTCTTTGAGAGGCTCACAATAGAAGTGAGGTCTAGGCAGTTTGAGCTGAAAGCTGTTGTTGTTTCAGGGAGTTGGTGTAATGCTCAGAAAACAGGCTGTGCTGTTAAGGGCCTTGCAGGTGTTTCTGATATCCTAGTTACTGTGTGTGCACTTGTGGTAAAGAATGGTAGGAAAAAGCATACAGTGAAAATGTGAACTGAATGGAACCTTGTCCTTTCCTCAGCATCTCTGAGTTGAGACAGAGCCTGTTATTTGGTGGTGTTCTGTGTATATGACTTTCAACAAATTTGACTTCTTTGTCTGTTGTAGATGAAGGACACCTGTATGTCTGGGGTAGCAACAAACACGGGCAGCTGGTGAGCAAAGAGATCTTTCTTGCTGAGCCTAAGAAGCTTGAGCCTCAGTTTTTCTCACATGAAAAGATTGAAGCAGTTTGGAGTGGCTGGACCCACTTGGTGACACAAACAGGTAGGGTATCTCACAAGCAGTAATATAAGGCAGCAAGCCAGTAAATTGTCTTAGCTGGCAATGTTTTTTCTTTGTGATAATGGTTGGATGCAGAGTTTCACAGTTGCACCTGAGCAGTGGTTGTCTCTTGAAAATAATGACGACAGAAACCCTTTGGCTCCTGTCCCTGAAGTGTTACTGTGCTCCTAGATTGATGGGCCTAGCTTCTTCATAAGTGCAGTACCACCTGCTTGTACACACAAGAGGGATGCAGCCTCTGCTTCATTGGGTTACTAGTATACAAGTGTGTATATATATATATGTGAGCTTCTAAAGTTCATTTAGCTGGGTGAGTTATGACATCTTCTTCAGAGAAAAAAGAGTTTGGTGGAGAACTTGTTTCAGAAAATAGAGAGGTAGGAAAATATGGCTGCGGCTTCCAAAATATGTGACTACATTTGGCAGGAAGATAGGGGCAAAACTCTCATTCAGGGCTCAGGAGTTAGGGAGAGGGGAAGATATTCCTGGACAAGTGTCTGTTTGAAAGTCATGGGGGCACAGATATGTACCATTGCCAGGTTACCTGGGTGGTAGCTGGGGATCTTGACAACAGGCATAGCCAAGAGCCATCCCATTTGAGAAGACCTGGTCTCATTGCAGTAAGTGAAATAAATTACTTGGATTTGCACAACAGCACTAAGCTGTAATTCAAGAGTAATCCTAGCTATTTGTGCTGCTGTCTTAAGTAGAGTGTCTTAGGGACAAATAAACTCATGTGTTCAGAAGAAAGTCAATAAATTAAAATAAGCTGGCTTGTGTGTGTGTGTGTTTATGGTTGAACCCAGAAATGTTTAGAAAAGGTGGGTAAAAAGAGGTGATGTTAGACTTGAAGAGCACCCCCTGAAGATGAAAGGAAATAAGATTTAATGTTGAAGCTGTACCTTCCTGGGAGGCTTTCCCCTGAGGACAGTTGATCTGATGGTCATCTGAACACACTTGTATTGTTGCTCTGTTGTGAAACACAAAGGCAGGAGAGAAAGGTGGATGAGATGGAAAGGTAAGACAGTCATCTGAAACTGTTTTGTGGCATTCACACGTGAGTGGCGTGTGCTGTTTGCTTCTCCTATTGCACAGCGTGATATGATAGTTCAGACTAACAAGCAGATGAAAGTCTTCTGTGGAAGAAATAGAGCAGCCAGAGTTATAGTGCAGGGGAAGCATATGTGCACTTCTGCTTTTGCCTTGTATGAACTGCCAGGTGAGGAAATGAAGAGCAGATGGAAGTGTTTTTCCTAGAGTCACATTGGAGGCTGAAGAGCCTGTTAATCTGTCGGGATGCAGCCTGTTAGGAACGGTGCAGAATGGGCCAGAGACTGGTTATTGATATTTGCTGGGTTCTGTAATGATGGGTACTGGTTCAAGGAATGCTCAGCCTTCAGCATGGGTAGTTTTATTTCAGTGGAATTCATATGTGCCCAAAGGTCAGCTTGTACTTAAGTGTTCTGTTAAATTGGTGCTGTAAATCCTGCAACAGCTATGCAGTAGTGTCCCTTGCTCTTGGAGAAAATTGTCTGTTTTAATTACCATATACTGTGAGCTGTTGGTGCTAGAATTGGGAAGGATGTGATGCATGACTAGAAAAACAAATTGGTTAAGTGTTCTGTGTTATAGCGGTCATTGTTTGACATCAAAGTACCAGAGATGTCATGTAAAAAACCTGCATTACTCTAGCTGCTCTCTTAGCTATCTAAAATAAATGTTTGATTTTTTAGAGGCTGCTATGTGGAAAATTTCAGAGCTGTAATCAGTGCTGCGTGCTGCCTGGTAACTTTGCAAGTGGAGGAAAGAAATGTATCTCAAAATGTATAGTTCTTCAGTAAAGTGTTTAATGTCACTCTCAGTGGAACAGAAATGGTAGAAAAATAGACATTAGCTGGGGGAATCTGATTTTTAAAAAGAATCTTGTGAACATGGTTTGCCTTCCCAATTTCTTCATAATGCATACCCTCCATGGTACAACTTCACCAAAGTTTTAGTAACTTCAGTGTTTCACTTAGCTGATAGTTATCCATGGCCCTTGCAGAAATGAAGGGAATATTTTAGGTGATTTTTAATAAGGAAAGATAAATGTGTCAAGTGACTAGAAGGGATATTTTGTTTTTGTGAATATTTTAAAGGAATTTAAATAAAAACAGTCTGACTTTTTTTACATCTGCATTAGAAAACTGGCCAAGGGATGCAGTGGCATAAGTTATTGCTGAAGCTGAATTTTATGTATTCAGGATTTTAAATCTATTTAAAAGTCAATGGACCTGAACCTAAATTATCTAGAATCACATTTTTAAATGGCCTTTGGCAGCCTCTACATACCAATCAGAATCTCATGGGGTTTTCAAATGTTACTTAACTACTAAGCATAGTGTGAGCTAAGCACTTAACTGTTTAAAGTAACTGAAAAATGCAGCCCCCTTGAAAACTTTTCCCTGCATGCAGTTATTCCTCTGTTATTTTCATCTCCTTCAAGCAAAGGAGGAAATGCTGCTTCAATTCCCTGGTGCTGAAGTCACAGAAACCAGTGGCCACCAAATTTTGACTGCCCACCCTTATCAGTTAAAATTGTTTTGAGCATGTACCCCTGATATATTTATACTTATTTATTTATAAATAAATTATAGACATATATTACTGTAATATGTTATGTAAACTATAAAACATGTACAAAAGTAGTTTTTAAAAGGATGAGGTGAAGGTGAAATAGAAACTACTTAAAATATTAATAACACTATTATGAATGTATTATTAACTTAAAATTTAATTTAATAATAAATTAAATCATAATTGATCCCTCCTGTGGATTGTCTTGCACATCCCCTGGGCTGCATGTACTCCACTTTGGAGAGCACTGATAAAAACAATTCCTTCTCACTTTACTCTCCACACAATTAGTGGAAAGAAAGCAAATTAGAGTGATTTTTGGACATGGGAAAATGGAAGGAAAGGATAGTGTTGTATGATGCTTCCTTCTGTTCATTATGGAAGGTAGGAACATATTTAGAAAGACATTTTACTGTATAGAGATTTTGCTGAGTGAAAGAGTAAATTTTTTTTTTTTTTTTTTTTATAATTAGTAGTCTCACCATGATGCAAAATTTACTAGTTTATGTTACTGTATCTGAAGTCTAGTGTTGTGTTTTCCACAGAAGGTAGCAGAATTTTAAGAGGCCATTAAAATACTTAGAGTTCTGTTTGGATTTTTTTTTTTTCCTCAGGACATTAATCCTGGTCAGAGTAGTAATAATAAAACATTCCTAATTGCAGCTGTTTTGATGGTAAATTAAAGCTTTTCTCATTGGAAAGACACAGGAAGAAACTGGGTGGACAAAAGCTGGACACTGCTGGTGCATAAATTCACAAACTCTGCCATTACAGAATGACATTTTGATCTTTTTCTGCCAGAGGAGCAGAGCCTGATGGCAGGATATGGGAGTACTGCAAAGTGAATGAGGCAGTGATGTTCTTAAAAGCAGCCATCTGGAGAACAGTGGGCAGTTGCATGGATGCAGTGGTTTGATGCTTCTAAAGTGAGTCCAAGCAAGTTACCAGCTTTGTTATCAGAGGAGGAGGAACACAACATAAATATTTTATCATTCTCTATTAAACTTTCCCTCTTACATAAACTAACCTTTTTTAAAAGGCTCACATTGTTTTGCCTTTGTGCTATTGGCAAGATTTTGCATTGTAAACTAAAGCAAAACCCACTTTACTTTTCTTCCCCACTCTGTCCCCAAAGGGGATTTTAGTTGCACCTGTGATCATTGTAATACCCACATCTCTTTCATACATTTTCTACCTCATTCAGCAATGATTTTGAAAGTCCTGTTTCCTCTCAACTCCCTTTAGAGTTTTGTCAACTCTTTTCTGTTGCTGTTGTTTCTGTTGTAAAGCAGTTAAAATTCAAGAAGTTAATTCTTCAGAAATGAATTGCTTGACTTAAGACATTAAAGAATGTTTTCCTAGGAAGATGTGGTTTTCATGCTGACCCTTAACTGATCCTTATCAGGTCCAGTGACTTACTCTTTTTAATCACAGAGGTGTCTTTTGGACTATTGCCATTGCATGTGATCTTAACTGTAAAATAACTCACAAAATCCTTCAAGATGGACAACTGCTTCTTTGTCTGCCTTGTTCACAGATTCCTGCAGAGGACAGGACACACTTAAGCTTTGTAGCACCACTAGTACTCTTTCAAAATGAGTTAAATTGTTCTGCTACTAATGATGGTCTTACTAAATGATGGTTGTTCTAAAAAGGTTAAGGTTGAGTGACCTCAGTTGCTTTCTGATCAGGTCTCTGATGGTAAGATATGAACTTCTTAGTGACTTTGGTTTAGTTATTTTCTGCATGAATGCTTGTATTGAGTGACTTTCAGACATGCTTTTCAATTATGACAGGGCAGTACTGTTATTGCTGTGCGTGAAGGACAGAGCAGGTGCATTCTTCTGGCCTTGGACTCCCAGTGCAAGTGTTATACTCTTCAGGCAACCACTCTGTAGAATGGTTTGTTTCCTGCCCAGCACTCTGCTTACTGGCACCAGGAGCACCACTGCAGTATAGGTGATGTTATTTGTGAATGGTAACGAGCAGCTGTCTTGCATCGCTCTGTTGAACAATGTCAGCTTGAATGTGTGGTCCTCAAGCAAACCCTGTGAGGGTGACTGCTGAAGGAGAGGTTACTGCTTAGATCATTTGGAAGAGAGCTAAGTTGTGGCCCATAATGCTGAAAATGTAAATGAGACTGCTTTGGGAAATGATTGAACTGATCTGACTTCAAGGCAAACCTAAATATAGCAAGAAAGAGTCTTTAAAAGACTTAGAGGTGAATCATCAACTTCAATTCAAACCAAGTTATTTTCTTTTTAACTGGGATACTTAATAAATAAGCTTTCTTAATCTGGCCTGGTTTATTATCTAAGTATTCTCTTGAATACATTCACTAATCTGTTTTTTCATGTGCTGTCACG